ATATATATATATATATATTTCACCTTCTCCCTCTTTCTTCTCCCTCGGTCACCGTCAAAGATAACAGCCTCAATCGACGATACCACTCGGTAGCAGCCGATCCGTGTACCGGTCTGTTGACGGACAACTACATATCGCCTGGTACAGACGGTATCATTCGGTATTGTAAACCTTGGTTTAAATAACATTTTTGTCTAATACTGGTACTGGTCTTTGAGGCAGACTGATTCAGTACTCAAGAAAAGGGTTTAGTGTTTCTTAAAGGATTTTAGCCTAATCAGAGCTAATAATAAGTAAAAAATAACTTTGAATAAAATTGAGTGAATAATGAGTTGAAACATGTTTGAGCATGTATTACAAACCCAATGTGAAGGATATGATCTCCCTTGGCATCCTATCCTATAATTTCATAAAATATTTCATGGAGCCTTGTTAATTATCGGTGTGCTAGATAATCGATTCATGATGAACAAAACATGTGGATTATGATAATGCATTAGGTTCTTATTATTGTTTGTCAATTTGCAAATTAAGGCCAAGAGATTAACTTTTCATATAAAATTGTATTTAAGGTTTAATGTTTGAGTCCAATACCCATACTGGTTCATGAAGCAGACCAGTTCTGTACCTAAAAATAAGGTTGTGTTTTTTATGGGTTTTGTCCTATTTAGAGTTAATAATAATTAAAAAATAACTTTTAACTATAATTGAGTGAACAATTAATTGAAATCTGTTTCAAACATGTATATAAGTACTTCAAACTTAAAAGACCTTCAAATGACATGCTAACTCAAAAATTTAATGTCATGCCATAAATATGCTTCCTATCATCAAAATGATCATTTTCAATCCTTGGGTGGTGGTTCAAGGTCCTCAATATGACTTGGTTGTAGATCAAGGTTGTAATTATGGACCATGAAGGTGCTTCATGGCATCTTTATACCAATAAACTCTATGACATTGATGAAACAATGTGGTGCAATTCGGCTTTATTGTATTTTTAAGCCATGTAGTAGTAAATAACTAAGTCGAATAAGGTTGTGACAATTATGGCTCCATAAGATATATAATTGAGATTGTGATTGCCATACCAGCGCTATGAATCATACTATGTATCCAACCTAGAGAAAAATGTCCAACTATCATTATGAATTGGAAGTCATGAAATTTATACTGGTAAGAAGGTTGTGAATTCATTATTAACTAAATATATAAAGTGTCTCATCTTGCCATTACAATCCACAACTTCACCTTGGCTATAAACAAGTCATGTGGATTCACATGCATTATGATGTTCATCTTGGGTGGCATAACTAAAATATCACTTGGATTCATGTGTTTTACTTATTTGTGATTGGGTAGTAGGAACAAATGAGACCCATGGCCCTAACAATTGTTATCAAGGGACATACTATTGTCCATGTCAATATCATCTCTGGGGATATCACCAAGTGCAGAATTCGATATGCACTACAAATGAGATTCAGAAGGTGCTCCTTGACGAAGAGATATTTGGCCCATATCTCCAAATCATTTCTCAAAGATAAAGAGTATGGAACACTTAGATGTTTTTTTTTTGGTAAGTGAACACTTAGATGTTTAGAGATCATCACATAAGAAAATATATTTTCACTACAGCTTAAGCTCAGTTAAAACATCTTATAACCAATAAATCTATTGTGGTCATCATGCAAGTTATTATCTCAATTTTGGAAAACTAATATGGGACAATCTTGCCACAACATCTTTTCCATATCAACGCAGTGCAAGATAACATAGAGTGGTTTTATCATGACAATAATCTTAGACACTGGAGAATGTGTTTTTCCACAGCCCTCCTATCTGATGAGATAGTATAATGAGAGCTTGCCTAGATCATCGAAAAGAATGTTACCTTTAGTCTGATCCTTCTCTACTGGATGACCTTTAAGTAGATGTAGTAGGTGGTTATTTGAGTGACATTTGGCCGTACAAGCTTCCCTTTGTGAATTTCTGCATCAAAGAAAAAGATGATGTTTTATGTTTTCGCCATTGTCCACTTCAACAGTGAGATGTTGCTGGTGTTCATCATGACACCTGCATAGTGAGCTGCATATGGTGTCAAAACTCATGCACTCTATTGTCCATTAATTGTTCACCAGTCTGTTTAAAGTTTGCACCATTGTGAGTGACCACTTACACTATGAACTAGTTCTGATCGTATTTATCAAAGCCCCATCAAACTCTAGATGTATCATAGATCGTGAATTTAATTTGATCCATCATCGGACTTGCAGAAGAGCATCCTTCTATTATAATCTACCATGATGTTTATTATACTCATCCTAGAAAGGTTGTACATGAGTGTGGCACTGTATAGGTGCTATTACCCCTTAAAAGACTTGATTCAGTCTCTAGTCTCTTCAATCTCATTGAGAAATTTATTAGTTATCTAATATGGAGCAAAACAGTGCACACCAGGATCATACTCCTAAATGGAGGACACCTATTGATTATCCAAGAAATATTGTGTTGCCACATCTATCAATACTCGTGCTTTAGTATTATTTTCCTATAAAAATTATCAATTTTAGTCGGATGCATAATTATAGAATTTACATTTGATATTGAAGAATCAACACCAAATTATGCTGATTGGGCCTAGAAATGCATATATCTATACCAGATCTACACATATCTAGGCTAGATCTGCATATGTCTACAACAGATGTATGTAAATTCAGGCCAGATTTGTACAGATCCAGCATAAACCCATACAAAGCCACAGATATATGTCTAGATCCACACAGGTCAAAACTAGATCTAGGCAAATGAAAACCATATTAGCAAGAATCTTGAACGGATTTAATGGGATTTTGGTCGGATCTGAGCTTTTCTCCGACTTGGCATTTTGAATTCGAGGGTGGTCTGAAAACTAGGATTTCTGCCAGTCATTTTATTACCAGTACACATGAAACGGTGTGTGTACTGCCCAGTACACTTTGTTTGGGAACTGACTGCGCTATTTCCCTTGTCTGCACGACTATTCCTTGTTGGACTGGTAAATTCCAGCCCTGTACTGACTTCTAGATTATATGCTTGTGCTGTACTTGTATAAATCAAACTGAGTAATAAATTTCCTTCTCAACTGAGTTGTCTTTTGCTCTTTCAAAGCTCCACTGCATGGGTTTGCATTTTGGTTTGATGTCTCCTTTAGTGGATCTGCAACTTATTCTCCCAATCACCATTTGCAACTTCTCCCGGAAATTTCGGCTGACCGACAAGCACAAGGTTCTAGCCACAGTCACTGGGAGCAGGTGCCTGGAGAAATTCTGCTATCCACTGCACCTGGAGAAGCTCCGACTCACTGGGAGCAGGTGCCTAATGATGTTTTTGATATATTTCTGTCCAAGGACACTCTTCTATGTCACATTTTAGAATATTTAGATTAGTTACAAAACCATGTGATTCTTTGACTATAAGTCATCATCAAATTTGTTCTTTCAGACTGTGCTGTACTTGTACGACCCAATTGAGTTGAAGCAAGATCAGAAGATGGTAGGTTCAGTATCACTATCTCTGATCACGGAGAACTGCTGGCTGTTAGATATTCACCTAGCACACTCGTGAGTTTTCAGATCAATTGCTGATTATAGCATTTTGGTACCTAAAGGTTTAAGCAAACTAATATGGTGTTTTTATATTTGGTTATGCATTCACAGCACAGGAGGACTAGCTCACATAGAAACGACTATAATGCTATGAGACAGTTTGATTTGTCAGGCTCTCATGGGACCTTCTTTATCTTCATGGAGCTGAAGGACTGACTGGCCCTAGGGTTGCTTTATCTTCATCAGCTGCTTTGTGTAGTGTGATGAATTGAATCACAGTTGGTGACTTTTTTAACTGTAATTTCAACTTGTTATATCTCAAATTTGAAACTATACATTGCCGCTGGATTTTGAAGAATGAAAGATAGCAATGAGACTGGACACGATTGTGTTGTTTACGCCGAGTTATAACAACTGAGATCTTTTACATTCTGATGAAAATTCAATTAGATGTGACTCTTACCATAGCAACGATGATGGTTTTATGTTTCAATTTCACAATTGATGCAAGACTCGAAAATGAGTCTCCACCTCAGGAAGTCGATATTTAATGTCACTGGACAACCATGAAAATTTATCATTTTGACGTCTCAACGATGAATAGTTAACATGTTACTGTAACTTCAGGACTCACAAGTCCAAGGCCACTTGGCCGAGGTGCATTCTTCTATTGATGGCTATGGATGAGGAGTAGCTTCAGGAATTCAATCATTTGTATATATGATGCAATTGGTTACTTTCTTAAGTAACCGTTTTGAACATACATTTCCCTGATGATAATTCTTGTATTTATTGTATCTATTCATTCATGTAAAATACATCCGTCATTAATTTGCCCCAGTATAACTAATATTAATATTACAAAGATAAGAAGATGTATGATCCTCAATTGTTTAAAGATATAGCTCACACCCAAGAAGGCAGGCAGGCAGGGCTCTCCAATCTACAACATAATTCCAACCTGCCGTACTTGCATCAGATGCATGCGTGAATCTTGAAGTGCCAAATAGGCATCTGGTATTTGGATTCAGCATTAGCAGCAGACCAGCTCATAAAGCCACATCCGTCGTCTGCGAATTAGTATGATGTTTTGGAGCCCGAGATTACACGGTTTGATCCCATCTCTTTTTAAGCCAACCTCTCTCTCTCTCTCTCTCTCGCATTCTGTTTTCGAGAAACAAACAAACCCGCTTCTTCGAACGCATTAAGAAACTCTCCAAGAAACGATTCTTTGCTGCTCGCCTCTCTCTCTCTCTCTCTCTCTCTCTCTCTCTCTCTCTCTCATTCTGTTTTCGAGAAACAAACAAACCCGCTTCTTCGAACGCATTAAGAAACTCTCCAAGAAACGATTCTTTGCTGCTCCTCTCTCTCTCTCTCTCTGTTTTCGAGAAACAGAACCCGCTTCTTCGGACGATTAAGAAATCCTTCAGACAACCCGCTGCTCCCCATCTCGATTAGGCTACGATCCCATTTCCTCTTCCTGCGTTCCTTTTGCATCTGTCATCTAGATGATGCCCGACGAGAACTTCGCCTCGTCGTTCGCGGCGCGGTGGATTGAGGGGCCGGGAAAAGTCAGTGGGGGCGGGGGAGACGGCGGCGGCTTTGGTTACTGGCAGCCTCGGACGCAGCATCTGCCGCAGCAGCAGCAGCAGCAGCAGCAGGAGGGAAGTCCGGCTATTCCGCCGTACACTGACTTCGACCGGTCTTACTTCCGCGCCTATTCTGACATCGCCATCCACAAAGAGATGATCCAGGTCTCCGTCCTCCATCCTCTTCCTCCTTCCTCATTTCCTTTTTAAGGTGCTTGTGATCTTTCTAAGGATACTAATCTCCGTCAACAAGAAGAGGAGAATTGTATTCTTCTTTTACTGTTTTGTAACTATTGTCTGTTTCGTAACTATTTTCAATGTATATGGACGCATAATACATATGTGAAGGAGTTCAGATAGACACACTGATTTTTTTATATACATGTAAATTCATATGAGATGATCCAGGCCATTAAAGATTTTCTTCCAACTTGTTCTTGGTGAAATCTTTGATATGTGTCATCGAAAATATGATAAATTTTTATATAGAAAGTCAACCACTCCCAGAATATATTCGTGTCCCATTTTGTTTACAATTGGACAACCTATTAGGGTGTGACGTGTTTAAAACCGACACATCCTCGCTTATCCTGTATCGTCTAGTATGATTATAGCGCATCTCTTTACTCAATATTAGCCAAATATAAAATTTGCTTCTGACCTGGCTCTGTTCAGACTATATGATCATCACTAGATGATAACTTTTCTCTTATCATGTAGGTGCATGTAGTTATCCTGAACCTCTGACAATTATCATTTTTATCTGAAATAGAGCTGGTGCTAATTGTTTGATCATACTTCAGGATCGTGTGCGCACTGAGACATACTTAGCTGCTATCATGAAATATCGACATTTAATTTTTGATAAGGTAATTTTCTTCCCTTTGACTTAGGATTAAAAAATGTGCCATCATCAAGACAACTGAAATGTGGATTTTAAACTTGATGATTTAACAATTTTTATTTTAGGTTGTTTTGGATGTTGGTTGTGGTACTGGAATTCTTGCTATATTTTGTGCTGCTGCCGGTGCCAAACGGGTAATTGCATCTCATGTTTTACTAGATTCTAACTTTTTGTTGATTTACTTATTATTCCATGAGTACAATTTTACTTTCTATAATTGTGTTAATTCATGAAGTGGATGACTACCACAATTTCTGGAGTAAATCATTGTGTATATTATCTACCTTTAGGTTATGTATTGCAAGTTTATGGTACTACTAGATTATTAGCAAGTGTTTTGCTTACTTTTCATCGAGACCATTTGTTGGCAAAGTGCAAACAACATAAAATTGACAATACAAATTGGAAGCTAATGTAGTTAGATACACTAAGATCTACTTATGGGAAAGAAATCATATGTTTCAACTTTCAACTTCAAGCATCGGAGATGTTTATGCTGCTTATATATGGTAAACATACCAGCTACATGTATAATATATTAAAGTTGAACTATTATGAACTTCTTTTGTTCTAAATATATGTAGTTTATGCTGTTGATAAATATTCTGAATTTATTCTAGATGCAAACAAGATGAACTCTGCAGTCATTTCACCTGTGGTATATTAGGATAGTTTGATGTTTTGTTAGTTTTGATAGATATACACAAAAAGTTTGTATCATTGAGATTGCTACCTAAGATAGAAAAAGAAATATTTTGATTTGTGAACAACTAGGTGTGCCTTTGAGAGAAAATGAAATGATGTAGAATGAATCATTTATAATAGTATAGACATGTGCTACAGATAATTAGATACTGTGGTTAGAAGATGCAAAGAAACTTACTATTAGTAATATGTGGAGAGGTAGGAGGCCTAAAAAGCCTTTACTAAAAAATATAAATAAAGATTTAAATACTCTTAATTTAACTAATAATTTGACTTTTTATAGAGCTTAACGACAACAAGAGATCCATATAGCCCACTCTAAATAGTTCAGACCAATGTTTGTTGTACTGCTTAAAATGGTATGGTACAAGCGGCATGGGCCAAGACACAAGCCATCCTGTTCCGGGCGATCCAATTAAATTAATAAAAAAATCAAAGAAATTGTGGGGCCCTATCTAAATTAGTGGTAAAAGAAAACAAATTAGCCCTCTTCTCGTATAAGATCTTGCCATTGCTGCTTCACCACTGTTGCTTCGAAGCTTTCTCATCGTTGCTGCTGTGGCTTCTGCTTCGATGATTTTGCCTTATCGCTGTCGCTTCACTGCTGCCGATGCTTCCCAGGTAGTTGTCGTTGCTCTTTTGCTCCTCTTCTTTCTTCTTCTTCCTCCACTTCTTCCTCTTCTTCCTTCTTTCTTCCTTCCTCCTCCCTCCTCTATTCCTCCACCTTCCCTTCCACTTCTCTCTTTTTCTTCCTCGTCGAACTACCAATACACACCAGTGTACCATGTGTCGGTTCACTGGTAGATACCAGTATGTACCAGTCCGATAAATTGCTGAAACGAGTCCGGTACCAGAAAAGGCAATCCTTGGTTCAGACATGACAGTTTTGTTGTTGTTGTTATAGTTTTGGTAGATACATCGGTAATTTCAAACAAACTTTTAAATTCAATTTGTTTCAGTTCCTTCAATTCAGCAAGTTCTTCTAAGTACTAGTGAGCTAAAGACATTGTTTTCTCAATCTATTATGGTCAAAGTTTTAGTGCATTAGCATACTTGAAAATCAATTTTTCATTATCACAATCTTGTGATGTATCATGGTATATTATTAATTGAATGGAAGAGTGTCCTTAGCCACACAAGAAAGAAAAAAAAAAAGAAACCCTTGATTTACTATTTATAATCACTTTATTGTCTGAATCTTTAATAGAAATTTATTCTAAAATGCAAAATGCCGTAATATCTTGATATGCTTCCATGTCTATGTTTACAAATGATGGTTAAGTTATTAACACAAAGGAAGAGGAAAAATTTTTCATCTCATCAAGTTACTCAACAAATCAGAAATTATCATTTATAATGTTGCTGCCATTAGCTTTGAAACATTACATTAACGTTTATTCAAATTAGTTCATGTATTGTTGCATCCATATTCTTGCTCTTCCCTTGGTAATTCCAATGTACATGAATAGTTAATAGTTAAATTAATTTACTGACAGGTGTATGCAGTAGATGCAAGTGAAATTGCAGAACAGGTAATTTCTCCTTTTCCATTCTGTTCTGTTATATTACCTTCTCAGAGAGATTGATGCAGAAAGTCTGAAGCAATTTATCGCTGACAATTAAATTTACCAAAATTTGACATTCTGTAGCCAACATGTTTCTGTAGCCAATCTCTATCCTGGCTATTGTCAGTGCATGATTCATTAAGTTGACTTGGGAACTGTTCTAAAAGGTGACACTATCATAATTGGATCTTCCTAATCCACTTAGTGCATGTTTGGCACTTTCTGGAAGTAGCTAATTTCAAATAATGTGGTTCATCTAAAGTCATCTTAAGAGTTACTTTGCTGATTGTGGTTAGATTGACATTGACACTACTCTTTCACTTTGGTGACTTTGGAATATCTACAACTGAAGCTATCTGAAGTCAACTGTACTCAGACTACTAGATATGGCTACATCCATTTCTATTGAATTTCTGGTGACCTACAACCAACCAGTTTCAAACATTGGTTGGACCAGTCACAGATCATATGTCAATACCATTCAATATTTAATTTTTTATTATTTAATGCAGGTGTAATGGACAATAAAGATCGGTATACCACTTAATACCATACCAGTTTGATTGGTTGCCTATATCAATAATCCAACTTGTTGGTGATCAGCCCATTAGCAACATCCTCCGATGGGTTGTTCATGCACCAATTATGAACCATGGATAATGACTGACCCATTGGCAAAAGTTGATCAGTTGGCTTTTCCAATCATGCTGCTAACTGGATATGTTGCATTATGATTTTTGCAGGAGATTTGCATTGTTGACACATGTATACAAATAGATGGATGTTCCCTTCTTGGTGGGTATCCAAACCAGTTCTGAGAGGATAATTTCCGAAAAGGAGAGAGTTAAAAGAAAAGAATTTGTTTGATGTAAAGACAAATAAAGCATTTGTCTTTACATCAAACAAATAGAGCATTTGTATACAAATAAAGCATTTGTTTGATGTTAAGACACATGTATACAAACAGAGCATTTGTTTGATGTAAAGACAAATAAACACATCTGTAAAAGGCGAAGAAAGGGAGAGACAAGAAGAGAATTAAAAGTTCAAAATGCAGAGGAGAAGAATGGAGAAGAAAAGAATTTTAGAAATAGTTTTGTAAAAAGTAAATTTACATTTAGTTTTGCTTAAAAATAAATTAAATTTATAATAAAATAGAAATATCATTTATTAACTTTAAAATACTAATTATCATAATTTGGGCTCTCTTCCTGTACCTGTATCTTAAATTTTGACTCAAAAAACACATATACCCAATACTAAATTAGAGTAGCTTCCATGTCATGAACCAAGCACATCTGTGACTTTATACCTAAGTTGAAATAAAATGTCCAGTCCAAATGGTCCAGATTTTATGGTTAGACTTAGATGTGCAGATTTTTATTGCTTACCTTCTCATGTAATGTTTTTATTAATAGTAATAACAGTTTGCCTAATAACTATGCAGGCTAGACATGTTGTTGAAGATAACAATCTATCTGACAGGGTGACCGTTCTTTTTGGACGAGTTGAGGTACCTGTCTATTGTTACATACTCTTGACTGTTGTTACTTAATTCTATCATACTATTCTTGGATGATTTTGCATCATATTCTAATGGCATATGGTCAGTTGGTCACGATAATTTTTTGTTTTTTATTAACACTGAACAGTTACTGAGTTTGTGAAAGAGCACTTTAAAATTTTGAAGCATTTGGTCACTATAATAGGCGGTGCTTCACTGAAGCGCATTGCCCGGCTACTGTGCGTGGCACTTGGGCCTCGCCTCACCCAAGCGCCTAGGCGAGTGCAAGGGTGCCTTTTTAAATCACTGTTGTGCACTGCCATTATTTTAATTTGCAAAACAATCTATTCTTAAGTTCCATATAATACCAATCTGCCTATTCCACTTGACAGTTTAGGCCAAATAATGATACTTCTGTTTCGCTTTCATTGCAAGAGTCTTGTACATTGAATGGTCTGCTTTTGTGTCATATAGATATCTTCTTGTGGGCTTACAGTTTGTGGTCTTCTATTGGAATGTTAACAATTGAGATATATTTTGTCTTAACTTGCATGTCATCAATGAGTTCGGCTTGACTACAAATTGGACAACGGATGCAACATTCTCAGCTCATTAGTTGAATAAAAACTGATGAAGCACACTCATTTGGCAGTATGAGTGTGCTCAGATAGGTTTGCAGATGAAGCTATTTAATCTCGAAATAACTTAATGTGCATGCAGAAGTTCATGACCCTAGCTAACTCTTATGACTGGTGCCATAAATTTCTAATCACACTCATTTTCCAAAGGTTTTCTCCATGACACTCCACAGGCTTGAATTTGCTTAGCATAAGGGGATGCTTGATAGCCTTTCTCCCCTGCATTTCATTATTTGATATGACGAAGGGTCTGTTTGCAAGCTTGCATGTTGCTCACTTGCATGCATATACTGTTTTAGTCTTCATTTCCCTTGTATTTCTATAGTTGATGCAATACAGTGTCTGTTTGGTAGCTTGCATATTGCCCAAATGCACGTATTTCTTGCTGTAGCCTGCATGTCCCCTTCCTTGCTTTAGTTGTTGCAATGCAGGGTCTGTTTGGCAGTTTGCATATTTGCTTAAATGCATATATTGACTGTTGTAAATGCAAAGGTCATCTAAATTATACATTTTGTCATTGAATTGAGTTGGCTGCATGAGAAAATGCAGGCCTGCAAGCTATATTTGTTAATCTCCTCATCATTCCACTCATCTGTAAATGCTTTCCACGTATTAAGGTCTTACCCTGCATGTAAATTCACAACATTTAAATCTCGCCGTGCATGTAATCCAGAGTATCAAAATTCCACCCTGCATGCACTAGTTAGCAAAGTAGTGTGTTCGTAAGTAAGCTGCAGAACAACCCTGTTAGTGTGTTGTAGTTCATACCTCACTTATTGTCAGTTCCGTGAAGTGATATAAGTAGAAACTATGAGACTTTATTTTGTGGCAACACCTCCCTAAAGTGCTAAAATTATCACAGCATTTTTCCTGTTATTCTTCATAACATTTGTCACTGCATTACTCAGTTAAATTTACCTTTTTGCCACTTTTTGGCTGCTTTTACATCATGATTTTTATTCGAATGCAGGATGTCAGCATTAACGAGAAGGTTGACATCATAATATCTGAATGGATGGGTTACATGCTCCTACATGAGGTGCTTGTGGTTATTCCTTTGCTATCTCTTAAATGTTGCCTGGAACTGAGTTGAAATAAATTCTATGGAACTTTGTGGAGTTTAATAGTACTTAAATTTTCGTTCTGCATTTTCCAAGTCAGTGTTCCTTTTGACTTACTTTATATTTCTAAATAACTTTTGTATTTTTTTGCTTTAGAATATGTTGCCCAGTATCATCTTTTCCAGGGACAAATGGCTTAAACCAGGAGGGCTTATTCTTCCCTCACATGCTTCGGTAATACTCATGCTACATACATCTTTCTGGTAGTTTCTTGTTCATTTTTCTGAACTCATCCCTGCACATATGGAACAACATATATTATGCCATAAAGAGCTTCATCTGACAAAGCAACTTCTTACTCATTGTAGGTCGTGAAAGCATATGTAGCTGAAAGATGAATATTGTATTTTGTACTATAATACTGCTAAGTTATTTTGGACATAATTCTTGTTTTGTTGTTTGTAATCTTGATCATTACATGTCTGGAAAATTTGTTGGATGTCATGTGATGAATATAAATGAATATGAATATGTTGCTTTAGCACTAGAATCATCCTGGAGCTATCTAGGTTGTTGGACTTGATAGTTTGATAGTTGATACCATAGTCATTTGATGAATATTGCACAATTCACTTTGGCCTCTGAACACATTGATCCCATTTATTCTACTTTAAAATTTAAATAATTAATACATGACAATTGCCCTTTGCAAGAACATATATTTTGGTCATCTCCCTTTGCATCAGCAAGAAGACACCATACTTTTCTCTGACACAATTTTTCCACCATTGAGCCCTATTGAGGGCACTGTCACTAGTCAAACTAAGGATTGTCTGTTTCTTATTGTTTCTTATGGTTTTTTATGTCTTTTGTGTTATATGTTTTAATACTACAAAATTCGTCTGTTGTTTATAAATTTAATTACTGATATATATATATATATATATATATATATAATTTTTATATATATACACATAGTTCATAATCACCTGATATGATATGATAGCATGATTTGTATCGATATGGTTTTCATTCATTTATTTATTGATCGTATGGTTGGAAAACAGTTGAAAACAGCTTTAATAAGTCAAATTCAGCTTAAGTTGGTTAATTTAGCTGAGTTCACAGCCTCAGACACAGAGAGAGGGGTTACAGAAGAAATAGAAAACTGAGACAAAGGAAAGACAAAAATCTACTAACCCTAGTTTCAATAATTACATTTGTTATCAACCATCACTATTGTACAATTGACAGCCTTAGCCCTATATTGATGCTTCCCCTCTATATTATAGGGTATTTTTACCAAAGACATTTTGTCAATGTGGTTTTAGCTTTTATATACCGATTGAGATCTGTGTTTTATTTGTGTTTATAAACATTGATTGCAACAGTTGCAGTAGTTATGAATTGATAATCTATAAATAGAATGTGGTTCCGACAAAACTTATAAAAAGGCATATCCATTGCATGAGGCTCCTACCAATGCAGGGTCTAAAAAAGGTCAATGTATGTAGATATATCTATCTTTTAGAGAGGTTGTTTTTGTGTCTTGAATTCTGATCTAAAGTAGCAACCTTACTATTGTACTAAGGCCTGCCTTCCCAAACAAAACTTATACAAGAACCTTATTTATTGGAAGATATATCTTTTGAACAATTGATACTCATTCATGTTCAATTTCAGTGAATGCTATTTTCTTACATATTTGGCTGGCTCTGATTTTCTTTGTTTGTTGTTTGGTGTCAAATTTAAGTTGCAATGTACAACTAGACTAGTGGATTCTGAGCTTTAACATTTCAGTTCGGTGCCTATATGTGAAAATCACTGCTGTTGAGATTGAAAAATGAAAATATATATTATATTATCTTGCAGCTCTTTATGGCACCAGTTACTTATGCTGATAGATACCATGAAAGGATTGGTTTCTGGCGTGATGTTCATGGGATCAAAAGTAAGTAAACTTTGTGACATCATTGGTGAACTGCCAAGAAAATATCGTAGCACTTAAAATGGAACAAATTCATTCGCACATCACAGAAAATGGGCTTATCTGAGACAGAAACATGGAATAAAAGAGATAACTGGGATTTCTTTAACTGTGAATGTATTGCAACTCACTATTATCGTATTTTGCAGTGTCTGCTATGCTGCAGCTCGCAAAACACTCTTCTCACAGAGAGCCACACATTGAAATAATTCCAAGAGAAAATGTTGTGACACGTCCGATACTTGTAAGTGTAAGCTGCACCTTTGTTCTTCTGGCTTATCCTTCATCTCCTCTATTGTAATGTCTATTGTAAACCTTGGCATGTTCAGAATTCTTCCTTTCGTGGTGCTTATACTTGCATATTTTAATTACCTTCAGCTTTATAGGCATGTAAATTTACCTGTTTAGCCATTTGATTCATTTCTGTGGAAATTGATTAATTATGTCTCATACAGGACTTAATTTGATTTATGTAGTTGCAAATATAGGCACCTACTTGGGATGAATAGTACATGCATTATTGAATGTGAGGCTCAAAATAAACTTGTTTACAGTAAATGATATCTTGAGTTGATATAATTGTGTTGACATTTATATTTTGCTACTTGTTTCAACTGAAAACTACACTGCTAATCATTTATGCTTCCTCCTTGCAAATCAAATCTTTCAATGGGCCTGATAAACAGGTTAAGGATGTGGATTGCTACACTGTCACAATTCAAGAGCTTGAATCTGTAACTACAAGATTTTGTGTTACATCAACCTTGCGAGGTAATTAATGCCATAAAATTGATTCTTCTTTAGGTTTTGTTGTATTTTTTGGAATTTTCAGCTTCTAGAAAGTACCTTAACTTATATTGGTGAATTACGATGATGTTTTGGTCATCAACTTCTTCTTTTATGATGGCAATAGATTGATCATGATTTATTTTCGTACCATACTGTGTCATTTGTAATTGATCCTGAATGGCACATCAGCCTGTATGAGAAGTTCTTCTGATCCACTTTCATGGATGTCTATTATTGCGCTTGTAATATGTTTGTTCTGTAATGGATCTCTGGGTATTATGGTAGATAGTTGATTCTGAAGCACAACTTGGACAAAGAAGGCTAAAAGGAGGCTCATAATTTGGACAAAGATTTGGTAAAATCCTGGCTATCTTGTAAGAAGAGGCTCACAAGTATTTCGTTATGAATGGACTTAGCAAGTTATTCTCACTAATAAATTTGCCAACTATTAAATCTAAGTGCATACATCATCTAATAGACAGGTTAATTAGGTTTCTCCCAGTGGTTAAAATCTCTTACTGAAATTGGATACAGGTGACAGCAGATTTTAAATTCATGTTGTTGTTTTCAAAATCACTAGCTTAGAGTTTTTTGGACTAAGTTATGATAATTTTGTCCATCTTCTTTTAGAAGTGGTTTAATTCTTGGTTTTAGCTGCCTTGGCTAGTAATATTTGCCAATAATATAATTTGCTTTGGCTGTAATATAATCAAAATTTCTGTGAAGTCTTCTCCCTTTTGGGTTGTGCTTTAGTAGATTTCTGGATTACGATAAACATTTTTGTGCTTTGCCAATATTACAAAGTAAGAGCAGGACATTAATTAATTTTCTAAAAATGTTGTTGTAAATGTTCTATTATAATAGATTCAGGGACTAAGGTTTGGATTGTGCAAAGTAGCTAAATAAAGTCAAAAATCTGGCAAGCACATATACCAGTAACATTTTAACATATATGGCTGATTTATTCTGCTATCGAGAAGATCAGTTGTTCAGCTTGCAATCATAGTTAATTTGCTCTGGACTTTCATGCAGCTAATTTCATGGAATCTATAACTTGCAGAACTTAATTTGCTTTTAGTAACCTAGTGAACCTGCAATTGTCAGTCTTATCGCTGCAGTACTTTTTAGTTATTTTCTGATTCCAGATGATAAGTTCACACCGTACTTGTATAACTAAAAATAAGAATTCTATTTTTCTTTCTCAACCTATTTATTTTTACTCTTTGAAAGCTCCGCTGCATGGATTTGCATTTTGGTTCGATGCCGCCTTTGGAGGACCTGCAGTGTATCCTTCCGAGCAACACCTACAACTTCCCCTGATGGGTCCAGTTGACAAAATATCACGAGTTTTGTGCCATAAAAAGCAGGAAATGGGATCTGATGCTGAAATTATGCTTTCCACTGCACCTGGAAAACCTCCAACTCACTGGAAGCAGGTGCCTCCTTTACGTGATCTGTTTACCCCAATTTAAGTGCATCCTTGTATATTTCACTTTATCGTTTCTAAATATTAGTCATAAGCCACCTGAGTTTCGTCTGAAGATCATGGTCAAACTTTGTTCTTTCAGACCATGCTGTACTTGTATGATCCCATGACGTTGAACAAAGGTCAGAAGATAGCCGGTTGTGTTACAGTGTCGCAGAGCAAGGAGAACCGGCGGTTCTTAGATATTCACCTGGAATTCTCGTGAGTTTCTAAGATCAATTAAACAATTGCTGGTTAGAGCATTTTTATACTTGAAACTTGCAAGCAAGCTAATATTCTATCTTGCTATGTATGCTTCAACAGCGTGGGAGGACGAACTCGGGTCAAAGTGGCTGAAATGCGATGATACGGTTCAATTTTTGGTCCAAGGTTCCACATTATAATATTCCTCTGGACCCTCACGAAAACCTCTTTCTGTATCTTCGTGGGGCTGAAGGACTAAACAATGGCCATAAGGTTGCACCTCTTGTAGTTCAGACATACATAATAACCCATACAATGTTGCAGTTAGGTGATTTGTGTTGAGCAGTGGAAATTCTATCTTGTTAAAAGCTTGGTTTTGGAAGTTCATGAGACAGGACATGAATGTGCTCTTGCGTTGCTGCCAACGGTAATTAATTAATAGGTCCATTTGCATGGCGTTGCGATTAACATTCAGTCGGACGGAAAGCGATTTGCATGGTGTTGATGTGATTGATGACAAGCCCCGTAAGGTTCTGCGATCGAATGACTCGTCTTCATTGCCTTTTTTTATTTAATTAAAAAAATAATTATATTTTTAGATTGAATCCTTTTCCTTTCTTTTTCACTTCTCCCATATCTTCCAATTGATCGTGTGCCTTGCGATCAATCGAAGATATTTGCTCGTAAAAGTAATATTTTCTATGCGTGTTTTGTGTTATTGTGCTTCGATCGCGAGGATTTATATCAGAATTTTCGATCGTGCAGGGGTAAATACGTACTTCCAAAAGGAGCTTTTATGTAATGTGAGATAACCCCTTCGATAGTAGCAGCAGAAGCTCCGCCGTTTCCATGGCTTCCTCCTCCCTCCTCTGGCTTCTCTCTGCCGGCTCGATAACCCGCCCCACCGCGCTTCCGCAGCCATCGCTTCTCTTCCGCATCCACTCTCTCCCTCGTCTTCCTCAACCTCGCAGACGCACATCCTCGACGCTCGTCGCGAAGATGAGGTGGGGCCCCGGCGCTCAGCAATCCAAAAACCCTAAGGAATCGACCCAGGCCTCCGCCGCCGCCGCCGCCGCCGCTCCTGCGCGGGATGAGGAGGAGGAGGTGGTGGAGGAGAACCTGCCGTGGATCCAGGAGAAGGCGCTCGACCTGGTGGAGTTCACCGGGACTGTGACCCAGGCCATCCCCGGGCCTAGGGTTGCGCAGAGCCAGCTACCGTGGCTTCTCGCGGTGCCTTTGGCGTGGGTTGGCTTGTCTTTCGTGATTGGCTTTGTGAAGGCCGTGAGGAAGTTCACTTCGCCCAGAGCCCAGCGCAAGAGATTGGTTTGCCTCTGTTTCTTGCATTCTTTTCATCTGTTCTCATTTGATGATCCATCAAGACAGGAACCATTTAGCTTGTGATTCTCCTTTATTTGTGTTATTTCCACCAACCATTCTGTTGCAGGTCAATAAGAATGCTTTCTTGTTGAAATCGATAGACGAGTTGTTTCTGAGGGGCAAGGATGAAGTAAATCACTCGGCTCTCAAAGAGCTAATGCAGAAGGTACTTGTTAATAGGTTTTTACCTCCGCTCATATCAGACAGCATTTATCTGCTTTAATCAAGAGGGATATTGATGATATGGTTTGAATAGTTGGGAAAGTTTGGCATTTTCATTGAAGCACTTGAATATTACATGTTAGATTGGGATGGGTAGCAGGACAAATCCCTGAGTTATTTTTTAAGTATATCAAGTGCAAGCTTAATTTTATGGATGAGAATAAGAAAATTATATTTGATAATGTCATGGATATGGTGAATTCTGGTTGTTTTCTTGCCTACCCTTTCTTATAGTTCTCCCATTTAGGCTCTAATTGTGAGAATAAAAGAAAAAAATAGAGAAGCTGTATCGTTTGTACAAGACACTTATATGTTACAATCTATTAATATCTACTTATAATCTCTCCCTAAGAAGTTCTCCGATTTTACTTCATTTATACACAGTTATATCTCAATATGGTTGGACTATCATATCAACAAGATAAGTAGACCATGTTTCATGTCATGATCACATTAAAAGAGCAACTTATTGTTAGTTTTGATTATTTATTTATGATGACACACAGATAGCTGCTTATCTTTTACTTATCTACATTAACATTTGTTGTAGCTATTCAAAGAAATTCCATTAACTTTTTAGTTTTAAATTTCCGTAGGATCTGCTAGTGAAATTACGACTTTGTAGATTAATCATTGCAGTGCATAATTTACTGTAACATGAGGCCTTATGGAATCACATTTGTGTCCTACGGGTAAATGTGATTTTCAATGTATTACAACACATTATGAAATGCTTTAGCGTCCATTTTCTTTAGATTTAGCTGATTGAAGTAATTTTTTTGGACCATTTAAAGATATGGAATGCCACTTTATGTCTGTATTCAGACAGGTTTCAGCATGGAAGAGATTTTGAGAAAGTACATTCGATATACTTTGAATGAAAAACCTTTCAATCCTGACATGGTTATAGATCTCATACATCTTAGAAATTCATCACTGCTGGAAGATGCTCAAGTTGCAGAAATTTTGAATGAGGTTTCAAGGAGAATTGTTAAAGAGAAAGGTGATGTTATTACCCTAGTTTTACTTGAACGTTTTTTGATGATTTCTCCTGTTAGTTTGCTTCTTAAACATGTGCTGCTCTGCTTACTATGATGTACTTTCTTTCTATGTGTTTGCTTCTTTCCTTTGGAACTTTTTTTATTTCCTTTTTCAAGTATTCTTAATGTTAACCAGTTGCAACTTGGGCTCACTATTATGCCCAGATTAAGGTGACAATTAAAATTTTTTAAGACTAAATTATGCAACTTGAAATTCATTAGCTTCTGCTATATGTTGATAAATGATTTGTTGATAAACTATGTTGCCAATTTAGATATCTTTGTGGCAGACTATTTTGTTTGCTTAAAGATGAGATCTCATCTCTCTGCTGTGCTTATTAGAAATTTTATTATATCACTGGTTGTGGCACTTTAGTTGTTAAGGAAATTTATTTGGACCCTTTCCTTGCAGATATGTAAAATTTGGTTCTCTGCTTGTTTGTGGAACAACAGTAGGTGTGTGTTAGCTGGTATGGCATAAATCACAGCACCTAAGTCATGAGTTTAAGTTATTGAACTATGACATTTATGATTGCAACTACTTTGGCAAGTTAAATTTGTCGGCTATCTATTTCACAATCTATTCACCTTTCAAGTTCATCTTTAAATTGAGATATATAGACTTTTACGCATTTTATTTCTCGTTACATGATTATGTAAAGACGTAGTTCAATATTTCATTTAGCTGGATATTTCATAGGTGTTTGATTTATTAATTAAAAATGAGAAGACGGCATACAGTAACTTAGGTGCATAGTCTTTCTTACACGTCTTGCTTGACTTTTGGGTGTAAATCCGGTAATATGTAATCTATTTGCATCTGTGGAGGAAACGCCCATGAATTTGTAAAGCCGTCTCAACTAGTAATAAGAGATGTCTTATTGATAAATTTCAGCTGTTAACAATGTTCATCCCTTACAGGCCCGGTGGTAATGGACCTATCTGGTTTCACGGAGAAAGGTTTCAAGCGAAAGCTTGCTGTTCAAGCATTATTTGGGAAAATTCTTTACCTCTCTGAGGTAAGGCACTCATCTATAATTTATCATGATTATATTGAACAGGAAATGCTTGACCATGCATTTAGCTCAAATGTATGAACGCCTTTGGTTTTTTTGTTCTTTGGTTTCATTCGTTGTGCATCTTGCTTATAGCTCTCTGTTGTTTGAACTGTCATTTGATCCTTATTGGGTTTAACCGATGACTGACATGAGTTCTCACCAAGAAGGTGCATTCAAGCATACATCAATGTTCCTTTACAAGGTTTTAGCATACATGCTGGCCACTTCCTAATATTCATGCTGACCTGAACAACCAAATTTGCATTTCTTTCCAGCTTCCAGAGTTCTGCTCGAGGGACAGTTCGCTTATCGTTAAGGAGATATTTGGGGTTACAGAGTATGACTAGTTCCCATGTATACAAGTTTATCTTCCACCTTCTGTGCCATCAAATTTGTTTATATTATTTTGCTTGTTCATGCAGTGAGGACACGGACATTCTTCGCATGCACACACTGTCTGAAACTGATGATATTGAATCAGTCAAGAAGATGGTTGATGATTCTAGCTTCGAGGAAGACAAAGATGGGTCATCATCTATGGATTAAACCAAAGTTTATGATACCCGGAGGTTCAAGCATGGAGAAGAGTAGTTTGATGTGGCAGGTTGTAAACTTATCTTTGGGCACATCCCAAAGAATATACTTGAGGATCGATAGACCCAACATGAAAAAGAGGAAGATCAAGAAATAAAAAGTTTTGTTATGATTTAGTGATTCAGCACCAATTTATATTTTATATGCCTCTTGTACTTTTCCATTTGCTCTCGAGCTAATAACATATTATCTCATGTATTTAGACTCTATTAGCATCGTAGTTTTTATGCTTAAAAAATTTACATTAAGATCCTTATAATTTTGAAAGAAAAAATAAATGATCTTATTTGTTCTCTAACATTGTCAATTGTATTGATTGAAAATATAATACATAACATTACGTGTTAGATCGACGAAAGTGATGGATAAAAAAAATAAATATAATATTTCTTTCGTTTTAAACAATTAGTAGCTAGATGGGTTGGATGACCAAAGATAATCTATGTAGAGGAGATTCTTAGCAATTAGCCTCTTGTATTTGTTCTTTGCAGCTCTATTGAATATGTCCATGGTGTTGCAGATATGTAGCAGTCAAAAACAAGCCATTCCTGTCATCCGACAATGATTCGTTCGTGAACACGACTTTCCCGACCCTGAAGAACATCCAAAACGCCCTCAATGATGCAGGGTCAGTGACAGCATTAAGGCCACCGTTCCCCTCAATGCCGACGTCTACAACTTGCACGATAGCAACTCGTTTCCTTCAACCGAAAAATTCAAGACCGACATCAGCAATTTCATGAACAAGATCATTCGATTCCTAAACTGGAGTGGTGCACCCTTCACCGTCAACATCTACCCTTTCTTGAGCCTCCCAATTTCCCAATCGAGTTCGCCTTCTTCGACAGCAAGAGCAACACCGTCGTGGACAACGGGATTCAATACACCAACGTGTTCGACGCCAACGCCGTGGACAATGGCCTGTCGACATCGACAAGAACGTCCATAAGCATCCCCTCTTCATGTGAGCCTTTGTCTTTCATCTTCGGTTGACAAACTCACCAGGCTGTTCATCGTTGAAAATAAAAAAAAATATTAAAATTATCTTTTTGCTCATCATTTTTATGCCGATCCAACACATAATATCACATGTTATAATTTTCGTCAATGCAACCGACAACATTACAATAAATGAGGTTATTTATTTCAATTTTATAACTATAGAAATCTCAATATAAATTTTTTAAACATAAAAATCATGATACTAATAGGATTTAAGTACAAGAGCAAATCCAATTTAGTACTGTTTGTTGTCTGCTTGTTTTCAATAGCAAACAGTCTACAATTTTAAGCTATTTGTGCAAGGCTTTAAACTGTTTCTTTCATGTCATCAAAATATATTAACCTAAATAGGCGTACCTTTTATTGACCACTGCTAATGCCAACAGTAGCTTTGTTGTACAAATTGAAGGCACTTGAAATCACCTACTTAAAAAGAAAGTATCATACAAATAGCATTTCAAACTAATGTCATCCCATTGTCTAAAACAGAATGATCAATACTACCGAGTGTTGGATTTCATATATAATCAACCGGAACCTCAAGATTTATTCTGCAAAAGTCATTCTGCAGCAGTTATCATTCTAATCACAAGTCGTGACAGCACGGATACTTAATGCAGTTGTATCGTTGCTGAACCCTTTAATGGAACAATCACCACTCGTTAATCTCTGCAGCAACAAAAAAAATGGTTATGGAACATCTTACACCAGAGATAGAAATGTGTAAACACTGAAAGAATGAACCCATCAAATAGTGTCACTCTAAGCAGTGTACGAAAATCCTTCAATGGTAAATAAAGTTAAAGGTTAACTAATTGACCTGAAGAAGAGTGTTTATGAGCAATCACCACTGCGTAAGCTCTGTAGCAGCTTTAAATAACCTTGATTGTCGGGACTTATAAACCTGGTAATTCAGAACATTGGAGTATAAGGTTCAATGCTGAGCAATAACAGGTGAGCTTTGAAAAAGTTGCTCATGCATTCATTTTCTGATGAATGGATTAAGGAAATTAAATGTTTTTGGCAACAGCATTTTTCTTCTCAGTTTTTGTAAAATATAATATCTCAACTCGCTAATGAAAATGATATGAACAACAAATATGTGCAAGACCAAGATAAGACTACAAACCCATGACGAAACAAGAAATCAATAATGACAAGGGAACAATTTGGCTTGAAGAACTCTGTCCTCCGAATTACATTTGCAACATGACTCACTGGAACTAATCTGAAGCTGTCTACCTCTCCATCTGCAAACGTTATCACATTAAAGTATGAATATAAAATGGCAAATTTTGCTAACACAAATCAACAAATAAACCTACAAGGCAAATATTGGGAAAAAGCACATGAAAGGGAAACAAGAGCTAAGAATATGAAAAAGTTATGGTGCTTCTATCAATTTCAAAAACTGATCTACTGCCTGGCTTACTTCACTCGAAACAGTTTCTTCTCTTGTATGTCATCTTTTAAAAGTATATTAATGCTACAAGGGTACAATTTAAAGAAAGAATTTTGCACTCAGCAGAACTTGAGCATTAAAAAACTATTTTATTGACTCAAAAAGTGACAGTCAATTGGCTCAATGGCTAATTCAACACTTTCTTAAAATTCTCTTGAGGCATGTAACAAAAACATATCCATGAAGAAAGAACTGAAAGTAATACATAAAATATGGCAACTGAATGACATTTTTTCATCATTGATCCAAATAGTTAATGGTAAATCAGCAGAATCTCAGAAGCAAACTAACTCAATGTGGAGAAGAGAGAGCGTGTCTGTGTGTGTAGCTTATCATTGGGAATATCAGAAGTAAAGAGAGATTATAGATGAAACAAAGTGCACACAGTGAAGGAGGACAAACACACCATATAATAAATTGGAAACCAGCAGGAACTGTCAATTTTTGATAAGGAAACATTAAATACTAGAGTCACCTTCGTTTTTTGGAGTGAATTCAACAGGAAGCTTTAAGTCATAACAGAAGAGAACATCCCTTTTGTATCTACATCCATCAATGTCCATGTATGATACAGCACCAACGGATGTGGCACTGCAGCAAAATTTTAGTTTGCACATGGTTATTTTATATGAAAAACATGCATATATATATAACAGAGTAACAGGTAAAATACATGAAATGAAATGGATTTTTTTATACAATGAATATAACTTATTCTACCAAGATTTTTCTCTAGCAATAGTAGCCTTTGAACATTTCCTATTGGAACCATGCAACCAAGTTTTTGTTTTATTGATACATTCATGATCTTAAAGCAGAATTTTCTGGAGCATTCCTGAAAATATCCAGCTCAATAGCTTTGAGAAAGATTTAGAGATTTTGTCTAGCCTAGCAAATCACATGAAGCCCCTAAAAGTATGATCAGACACCCCCATGTCTTAGTATTTTCTTGTCTATGGGAACAATAGGTGGCTTTGATCAAGGAATACAATTTCGATACTGGATCCATGCTAGATCAGGATTGGGTCCTTTCTGGCTAAACACAAAAGTCTACTCTTTAATTTTTTCAAATATTTGGATCCTTGCTGCTATAGTTATCACTAAAGGTTCGCTGTCGGTTAAATGGGTTCAGTCCATATTTTTAAGAGGAAAAAACCTGGTCGAATACTAGACTTATCAGACAGGGATAGCACGTGCCAACATGGCATTGCTATGTTAGCATGGCATGCTATAATGATCATACACTGAAATGTTTTGTAAAAACAAGCCAAGTATTGACATCCGTGAATATGGTGCACATGCCACATACTTATATTGGTACAGCATGACAGTATGGTTTGGTATGGTATAATGATCATCTACTGCCATATATATATAGAACAAAAGTTGTGTCACATATGTTGATATGGTTGGCATATCATATACCTATACATTACTAAGCATGTCAGTACGATACGATAAAACAAGAATATTGCACTATATACATAACAGAAGTCAACATATGTTGGTACAGTTTGCATACAGAACACTTACCTTGGTGTGGCTGGACTAACTGCCTTGTTATACACCTATATGGTTCTACCAGTACGTACTAGATACAGACAGTATCCGGCAAGGATCGAAGTTTTGGCAGACACAAGGGGTTCAGTTATGAGCAGAGTGATACCATGTGATGTTACACCAGCTACTTCATATTAAGTTAGACCATTTTTTATTGTTTCTTCCGGCACAAGGAGTGTCTCATCTATATTATGCAAAGAGGTATTATGTCAACAGCATGGCAAAACTCACAAGCTTTAAAACCTTCAAGAGTGTATTAAAAATTTAAAATATCCATGTTTGAGCAATCAAATTATAATAGAATACCACTTCCTTTTCTGCCCCTCCATTCATTGTCCTTTCCTCTCATCTCTTATGTGAGAGGCAGAAAATGCTTGTCATAATATCACGACACACAATTCAACAGGGATTGAACTAAAGGCTACCATATTGCACTATTCAGTTGACAGAGAGGAACTCTCGTCAACCTTCTTCTAGTCTCATGCATGGTTATACGTGCATTAACCTTTTTTGTGTCAGTTTCTTCCTTTCACTATGATCCCAAATAGTTGAGACTTACGGCTTTGTTATTCTTTTCACCATTCCTCACCTTTCCTTTTTTTCCCTCACACCAAAGCACCTATATTGGTGTGAAGGCATATCATATAGACTTGCCAACTTGCTGGTATGGTATTAGCACCAACATTTATATCTATAATAATCATACAAACATAGGATAGCCAATGGCTACAACAACACCAACAAGCATAATATCCCAACCATTTGGAGTTGGACCATGGATTTTCTTTTGCCAAAAATATTGCAACAAGCAATTGGAAACACACTAACTACAGCACCAAAAATATTTCAAATATAATTAAAAAGTTTAACAACAAGAAAGTCAATTTCTAAAAAAAATATCCAAGCACATATTAGAAGGTTGTAAAGTCATAATGACGATAACAAAATAACAAATCCAGAACTAGTAACAAAATCTATATTTTATTACAAGGTCAAGGTTCAAAAAAGTAACCAAGACTAAATATAGCAATTAGGACAATTAAAACAAGATGGATGATTTGCTTCTGTGTATGTATTGATCATGACAGTAAATGTGAATAACACTATTTTAGACAACCATAAAACAGTAGAAATGCCTAGAGTAATAATCTGGAAATCAGCAGGTATGATATTTCTGCATTATATATTCTACATCCAAATCTTACGCAAGAAACCAATGCCTATAAATGTGAAAGGTTAGCATACATATTGGACACAGATCTTGGAATTCCTGCTTCCTCTTCACATTCCTTCAGAAGGTTTTCTTTGCAGCTGATTCCGTATGGCTGAATTAACAAAGTGATGTAAGGCCAATATTTGATTTAGGATTAGATTCATTAAATTTTCAATGATGAAGAAGATTATTGAAAAGCATGAATTCTTGAAAACAGAATACAACAAGCTGTAATGTCCCAAGTATTTATTGGGAGAGCTAAATGGATTTTCCCAGAATCAAGCAATAATTCCAGCAAACAGTAAACGAGATAAACAAAAATTGCAACCAAGATTAGCTTTTCAAAATGTGTTAAGACTTGACTGTCCCTATGTTCATGGAACTTTATAGACTCAATTATCTTTTTATGTGTGCGTGTTTCATTTGTTCATGTGTGTACTTGTGAGCCTGTGCTTGTGTGGAAGTACAGATGCAAATAGTTAGCGACATGATTTCCTCCAGGGAAGGAATGTGCAGTAAATTTCAATTTCAACAAATCAATATAATCACAACACCAACAAAGGTGAAGTTAGACGTTCAACATCATCAATATCAACAACTCGGGATCACAAGAAGTTCATATTGAATGAGATACTTTGGAAGTACAAAGAAACACAATGAATAAGGTAACATTATTAATAGGATTCTCTCATCGAAAAAAAAAAAGATTGTATATGTCAACAAATATAAAAATATACCAGGCCCCCAGCGACAAGATGATCAAGCATCCCTGGATAAGTTGGCTTAAAAACACTTCTCTTCCCAATCCAGAGGAACTTTTGTCCATCCATCTCCACATATCCATTCATGTGAACACCATAGGCCTACAACAAAAAGAAAAGGAAGGAAAGGAACAAAGAGGCAGATTAGCCTGGACTTGAATTCTCCTTTCTACTCCTTTCTACTAGAAAGCAACATACACTAACATAACATGACCAACCACAATGATAAGAGAGCAGTAGAAACAAGAATTGATAATCTACAAGAATATGAGTAAATAATACGATAAAGAACACCAAAGAACAGTCCAAAATGTAAACCAGATAATCAAGTGGCGACAAAACATTATATGATTCAAGCCTAACAAGTTGAGTAGCTTTTCTAGACAGAAGTCATTTTCTGTTCTCTACATCTCTTTGTAAAGCTGTTGACATGAAGCAAGGTATGTAAAAGGAACTAGGAACCCCTTGATTTATGTGCTGTATCCACTAGTCTCTTTAGACTCCCTTGTAACCTATTGCATCTCAAGCTATATCATCTTTGTCATCAAAACTTTTGGGAAGAGTAGAAGATATGATTTAAAATTTTGGTCTTAAATGCTTCTGTCCACAGCATGAAGATATTATGGTTTCCTTCACATATTTCAATTAATCTAATAGGATTGCCTGCTAAGACACTTCATCCAAAACATGCCAGTTCTTCTTGCAACAATCCAATTAAAATAGATTGAAATGTTGATAGTAATCATCAAAACCTGCATTTATGTACAACCAGGTAGGTATTTTAGAACTAAAAAGTTCCATATACAGTTACAGGAAGATTAAGCATATTGGGCTATTTTTACTTAATATTTCACTACTGTGGAAGCATTTCAGGTTTAGTCCATATGGTTAACAGTCTATTTCAACACGAAGTACCATATAATGATGATCTTATTCCAGTTTACACAGTTTCTATATACAAGAATTCTTGGAAATATGGATTCATTTATTCTGGAAATGAAGAAGCAAAGTGTCTGAAGATGAGTTCGATAAGCATGATGAAGAAAACTTCGAACAGTTCCATGTTATAGAGTGAAACTAACCTTTATGCCAAAATAAGGAGCAGCGGCACGTTCTAGAGAGAAAAATACAGGCATCCCATATGATGATGTCACAGGGTATAGCTTGGCATGATTTAGAAAGAAGGAAGTTAGAAAAAAAAAAGGGATCAGAGAACACATAAGTTGCAAAAAAATAACTTATCAATATAAGGGTCATAATCATAAGCACATAAACTTTATATAGAAGCTAATATAGAGACCATAAATTTCTCAAGCATGAAATATTCTAAATGGATGTCTCAATAAACTTCATTTCTAATGAAAACACTTTGATATCCCATAACGTTAAGATAAATACAAGTTATCCTACATTCCTACTTAAGTACTTTGACGAAGTCAGCACATATTTCAAACGGAATACAACTTCGAGACAAACTAAGCGATTTCTAAGAGTACCTCATTCCGAGTACCTGGAATCAATTCTCCCAAGCATTTGATCGCATCTCCAACAGCTCTCGTTCTCTCCTCTGGTGTTATAAGTGAAGAATGAAATTTAACATGGCTTTCATCATGACAATCATTATTGTGCAAACCAACTGTAAAAACCTCCTTGAACTGTCTTAGGTGGCCCAGAAACCTAGTACATGTTTGAAGGCTAAGTAAGAAGCCCAGAAACCTAAATCAGAATTTTGCGCATCATTTTTGTGATAAAAAAATAATATAGAGGGAACATACGCCCTGATTCTAAAGTGTATGACTTGTAGATGCAATATATAAATGAATTAAAAATTGTAATTTCAAGAAGTTTCTATATGAAACAAATTTAAGACGAGATTAAAAACGCGAAAACTGATTGCTTGATAAAAAATTCACTTTCTTCAACGCCCACAGTTTCTTGAAATAATCAGATACTGAAAGCCAACAGCACATACCCATTATGTATGTAACCAACAATCTGATCCTCGACAAGAAAGGGAACGAACTCTGATTTCAATTCCTGCTCATATTCCCGGAACAAACAACCACATCAACGCAAACTATCAAAAAACAGAGGAAAGAATAACCTAATTTCGGCCGAACAACAAGAACAAGAAGAACAGCGGAGAAAAAAAGGCGTACAGATCCACGGTTGCAGTGGCGAACTTTCTCGAAATACCCACGGAGATCAGAAGGGTCGTCGTCTTCCTGGACCTCCTCGGCAATGCGAACGACGTCGTCCCAATCGAATCTTTGGACCGTAGAAGCCGCCACCGAGCCGAAACGCCTCGCATTGCAACTCGACAGTTTCAGCAGAGACCGAATTCTTCGACGGGCGAGGCGCCGAGAGGAGGCGGAGACGCGGAGGGGGAAGATACCCAACGTCGGGAGCCGAAAGCACGCCATGAGATGGCAGCGCCAACAGACCAATGTGTCGCTGGACTGTTTGTTCGAGTCCCAATCCGAAACTTGCTACCCCGGCCGTAGATTTGCGCACGTTCCAACGATGACACATACGGCCGAGATACTATGACAAAATGATCGATAACTATTATAGCCATTTCTCAACTTGATAAACCCTTGGTTTCGATAAAATTTGGGTGACCGATGAGATGGTACCCATTATTTTTTGCTTTAATTACATGTCAATGTAATAATATGATTCCACCAATGTGGGATACGAAGCAGATAGATGTGCACAAATTTCAAACTGTAACCAGAAAGATAATTATCACAACTCAAATCCTGATCACCTATGTCAGGAACGAACAATATTCATAATAGATTCAAAACTTCTAAATTGCTCAAGGATGTACTACTAGTTTAAGCCTGAATCAAACTTCATGAAGCACCAAAATCAACCTAGAAGACAAGTGAAAGTGCACACATAGTGACTAATTATTGTAGAGCACAGCATGTGCCACAAAAACGATGCAAGGGTTGTCACAGGACAATCTTTCATTGTTTCATCATTAGATCGAAAATGCCTGATGACTGAAGCAACTAACTTGCAGAAACAAACACTGGAAAAGTTGAAAGGCACCCTCCTCCGCAGCACCAAGATCAGCATTACATAGTGAGAAGGGGCAATCCAATCTCCATTGGAAATACCAATTTGCTGAGAATATGATCAAGACCTACATTTTTCTCCAGAGGCTAATGATCCCATCTGCTAATGACCTTAAGTTTCCCCACAAGTTTGCCGTCCTTGATGAAAATCCTTGCTCGGAACTTCTATGATGATCACTACAGAGAGAAAACCAGCAAGGCAGTATTCAGCATCTGAATTTATCTGAAGACAGGCACAACAGGCTAGACGAGTATTATCAAAAAATTTAGTTTCCTGACGATGATATATAGCCACATTATGCTTGATAAACTGGGCAACCACTTGAAAATACATCTACAGATTCTTTATAGCCACATAAATCAAGACCATAGGACAAGAAGTTCATGTTTGAATTCTTAATGAAGTTTCTTGTAGAATCATAAAACAGCATATGGAAGGAGAAGGACCAAGACAATGTATGCATTGGGAAATCATGGTAGTTAGTATCGGAATTATTTGCTACAGATACAGGATCTAAACCATTAGATCCTTGGAAGTGTAATATCAAGAAGAAATAAGAAAATGAACTTGACATAGGATAAGTGAAAAAGCAAGCTTACCTATGCCGTTCCTCTGTCACCGAAACTCCATGATTTCCTGTATCTTTAACTACCTTTGGTGAAGGTGCATCATGTGAAGAGTCTTTAGTGCTTATCTCTTTTCTGGAGCCCACAGATTCTCCGGAAGAAGACATTGAGGTTTTTGTTTCAATTCCCAATTTCAGAGAGACTGATGGTTCATCCTGAAAAAAAGAAAATTTATCAGCAAAAGCTACATGCATATATAAAAAAGCAACTCTTGTCAGCTTTATATAATAAGGCATTTCCATGAAAAAAAATGTCAAAAGAAATTATTATTGGTACATTCCAGAATCCAATCATTATCTTGAGAACTCTGTTTACCAAAGTCTTTAGGAGAAAGTACTTCATTTGATTTGCAATACAAATGCACACAGGAAGAGTGAAAAAGAGACTTGCAATTAAACAAAAGCAAACAACAGTCCCAAAAAAAAAAAACTCTTAAAACCAATAATGATGTCAGATGCAATTCCAAATATTTCACAAACAATTTACAAGTAAGCACTTTTCTACAGCAGGAAGACAGGATCGCAGGACAATGTGATCCACCATTGACGATAATGAAAACAAATATCTTCACCTTAAAGAGAAAGGATTATATGAAGAGAATGCCTAACCTTCAGACTAACTGTGAACAACCCATAAAATAGCCAAGTAAAAAAACATTGGCAATAGCAGCATTTATTCAAATAATCAAATTACAAAAAAAGAAACAAAGATTGAAAGATAAAGAGGGAGAGAGACATAGGGTTTTAATCTTTAATATAAGAGAGAAAATTAAACAAAGTAATAATAGAGCGGAGAAAGATAATTAGTGTAGGAAAAAGGTAGAAAATGGGAGATGGAAAATTCTCTTGTGCAAAGAAAGAGATCATTTAGAATAAGCAAATAATTAGCTGCCATCTGAACTTACTTAGGCTGACTATAGTAACCTTTCTACAGCCCTTGATCACAATGAGATCCCAGATCCCACTAACTTTAGACATATCCATGACTTTAGATGCCATAATCTTACTGAGCCATCATATAGCTAGCTATCTGTCCCAATATAAACATTTAACTGATGAACCACCTAAACATTACATGATGTAAAAGATATAGCAATCGAACTAGAATTGGCACATTATAAAAAGAAATATGGTCCAAGAAATAAAGAGAAATAGTTAGATAAATCATTTACACAATGTTGATAATGAACAGCCAAAACACATCCAGAATGTCAAAAATACTTAGTTGCACAGTCAACTGCCTCTATTTGAGATAATTTGATAAAAAAAATATTCATTGGATCAAACTGTTCATCTGTCTTGATGATTGTTGTTCCTTACTTTGCTATCAATGACTGATTTCAAGGTTTCATCTCTGACAGATGTAGAGGACACTTCTTTGGCATCTGAATTTTGATTAATGTCTTCTGCTTTTCGCAACTGAACGGTCCCCTTATTTAACGAGGACAACTTATTGTTGTACTCTATTTCTTGTACAATCAGTTTTAGACTGTAATAAGACCCACCAGTCTCTCGTAGGACATAAGTAACTGCAGGAAATCTTCCTGCATTTGACGCTCTATACCTGTAGAATTTAAATATAGGTTTTAAATATTTTAAAGAAAATTGTCATCAGAACATAAAATAAGGAAACAAGAAACAAGCGTATTCACATATAAAAACATGCTCTGACAAATTGTGAATGAAAATTTGCAAATAAAAATATACAGGTTTTGGAGAAGCATAAATTGAATTCATTTGCACCATGTGGCTAGCAACAAATCATGCGATACTCAACGTCTGAGTGTAATCTGTTTCATTTCGGTAGCTAAGCCTGCACTTACTCAATTCATGTCTTATTTCTTTAAGTTTTTGTTCAATTAAGTTGTAATATGGGTCAAATTTGGCCAAGCTTTGGTTTAGGTAATTTCAAATTCCACTTGGTCTCAATTCACTATTTTTATTAGTTATTTAGCTAGTTCGCTATCCTCCTATCAGTTGCTCAATTTTAGTTTATAGATTTTTAATCTATTTGGAAGTCAGAAAAGTTGTTATTCAAGGTGGATCAATTAGGACCACTACACTGCTGCCCCTAGACTTTATCTAATAGATACTCAAAGATCCAATAAGATAGAGGTGATGACAATTTTTAGAAAATATACTAACCAACTGCTTTCCTCTCTAAAAAGAGTTCTTATTGGATCTAATATATCGTCAAATGCAATATCTTAAACTGCTGAACTATATCCAGGATAAAGAGTTGTCATTTGCTTATTTTCATTAAAAAAAAAAATGCTTGTTTCAAGAGCATTAGATGATTGTTATGCTTGTTTTCTAGAGAAAAGGTTTAAAGGAAAAAAAGAAAATGCATGATGGATCCCTAGGGAAGGGTACCTTCAAGCCTATACTAATGTAGTAGGACTTGTACACACATAGTCTCAAAGATGCCCTTTTCCCCTCAAATAATAACTTTGATCAAACCCATGTCTTAGAACATTTTTCCAATGACATTTTAAAAGTCATTGGAACAGGTAACTTACTTGTCAACAAAGGACTTTACCAAAGTGCGCCTTTCTTGTTTAGTTAACCTCTTGCCCTTTTGTGGTTTAAATGGACCCGGGGGAACTGAAGCAGCAAATGATTTACACCGTCCTCTAGAATTCGATTGTAGTAGTTCACTAGACAGGCCAATAAACACTGCAATAATATAAGAAAGATAAGCATAACCAAGTAAAAGGATTTTAAATATGCACATAGATAAAATCCATCATGTAGAAAATGTTTATCTATTTTACAAAATATTCTTGTAGAATTTATAACAAACAAAAACAAGAACAAGGATTTTACATACACACACTGATAAAATCCTTCATGTGGAAAATGCTTATCAGTTTTGCAAGATATTCTTGTAGAATTTGTCACAAAAAAGGATATTGTCTGGCTTGATATCTCCCATGCCAATAGTGAGAACGTTTTAGTTATCTAGAGTATTTGTCATTAAGCATCACTATCCAGTCTCGAAGAGTAAAATAAATAGCATATTGACAAATAATTTTCTTCAGAAGATCCTTACCTAAAAACTTGTGTATGCTTCATTTAATTTTTTTCTATAGTTTCAACTTTCAACATAATATAGGGTTGAAGGCCTAAAAGAGACTGGCTGGTATAAGTATGGAGACAGGAGGCCGAAGAGGAAACATATTTACAGAATCAGAATAAGTAGAACTCTTTCCTAGAAACAAAAGGCTGACCAAAAAGATGCCTATTACAATGCCCAAGTAAGAACAGAGAAAATTCTGAATACATCACAAAGATTAGAAAATGTTCTTTGCCACAGTGTTAGCTGTAAGAATATGATCTTAAGATATGAACCTTGAATATTTTAACCTCTTACTTTTTTCTTAATGCATTTCTCTATAGCTACTTCAGATTAATAAATTAGACGAGTTTTGCCAACATACGAATAACAGAATCAAGCATCAACTATCAACTCATTTCATGTCACTAAATGTGGAGTGAGCAGAGAGGATGAGTAAACTCCACAGATATTTAGTTATCTCAAGATTATGATATGACTGCATGCTTTTGCAGAAGATATTTCCATCCACATAGGATGCAGAAAGGAGTTGTAGTATCAACTTCAAATAATGGCATTTAGCTTGCAGTCTTAACCATAAGCTTAAACATTGTAAAACATAGTAGGCTATCATTTGGCTATAAATGACAAAACAGGCATCACTATTGTTTTGTTAGTACTAGGTTATTTTTAAAAATTTACTAATGCAACATATAAGACAGTAAGGAGATTACAAAAATTGTGCCATCAAAA